TCTAACGAAAATTCGTTCTTGGAGGAGAAACATTTGTTAACATCTGTTTTATTAAAAAATGATTATCCTTTATCGTTTATAAATAAGGAATTTTCAACAATCGATCGAATAGAACAGAACAACTTAGAACGAGATCCTACAGCATACACAAGGAATAATATGAGGAAAGTAACAATACCGTACATAAAAGGATTATCAGAAAAACTTAAAAGGATAGGAAATAAATTCAACATTTTCAACAACATTCAAAACAACAAACACGTTGAGATCTATTTTGTCCAAAACCAAACCTAACAATGAACAAGAAAGGACAAAGAATTGCATTTATAAAATACCTTGTGAATGCGATCAGTTTTATTTAGGTGAATCATCAAGGCCATTAAATGTTAGAATAAGTGAACATCAATCTTATATTAAAAATAGAGAATTTGATAGATCTCAAATATGTAAACACGCATGGGATAATGAACATAGGGTCCAATGGAATAATTCAAATATAGTCCTAAAAGAAACGGATGGTAAAAAAAGAAAAATCAAAGAAGCAGCTCTAATTATGCTAAATGAGGCCAATTTGTGTCGCAAATTCCTCGGCAGAATGTAGTAGGATCTGGTTACCAATATTGAAAGAGGAAGTTATTAATAAAAAATACCTGTATTAGTAAGTCAGTTACATATAGAGGATACATCATTTATGTTTTTTAAATAACGTAACATATAAAATCAGAATTTTGATGTTTGTTGAAGGTAAACTAAATTCACGAACAAATACTTACAATGTCGGGATAGTATTATGAGGTTTTTTTCCTGGTTTTTCCCTCATAATTTACTATGGAATCACTAACGGGAGAATTTTACTGTCATCATGTCATGTGTTTGTCTTTTTAAAGACGAATTACATGCTATGATTTTTTCTGACGGATATTCTCAAGTTAAAGTTGATTTCATGTAATCGAATGAACTATCTTATAGTAAGTCGTCCCAGGAGCGCAACTCAACAATATTGGCAATATCATTTTAAAGTCCTCTACTTTAAAATGCATAATGTATGTCTGAATTGTCAATATAAATGAGTCAGATAAAATTAAATTATTAGAAGAATTTTTTCACTATGTAACAAAAAACAAAATTTGTTTAATTTACTGTTTGTATTTTGAGAACGATTTCCGAATTGGAAATTGAAACGTCAATAAACGTATTTTTTATCTTTAATTGTGGCTTATTCCCAGTTATAAATAGTAATTAATTTACAATGCCACAAGAAAATAGCTTCAGAACAATATCAAGACTCAAGTATCAAGACATCAGTTCTTGATAATAAATCATGCCAAATTATAACTGAAAACAAAAATGCAAGTGTTTTTTTTTGTTTTTTTTTTGTTTTAGTACATCTGATGGAATCTCCAATTAAAACATATCATTCAGTAATAATGTTCTTTATGTCTTTTTTTTAGAGGTTTAATAGCATTGGTACGACTTTTTTAACTTGTTTAATTTAACAGTTTTTAAGTTCGTCTTTTTACGCGTTCTTTTAGTAAATCCCATAGATATGGGGACGCAGAACAGTAATTATAAGCCTCTTGTACCGTTTAAAAAAAAAAGACCAAAAATTTCACAGTCAGAACTTGACGGTGCCATTAGAGACCAATTTTAATGTATGAGCAGCACAGGACATGTACCTATAATACTCTAGAATTCATATCAAGAATCCTTTTTTAAAGCTCTTTATTTTTCTCTTTCATGTTCGATCCATTGTCGCAGCCCTGACCAGTATATCTTTAACTTAGAGCTGCAGACTAGGTAATAGCTTGTCTAATAGAAAATTGCACAGGCCTTCTCCAGTAGTATTACTTACTGAAAAAATCCTAGAAAAAATTCTAAAATATCTACCTTACCATCAGTAGTTTGCACACATCTAATTCATGGTTGGCTGGTATCATTGGGCTCTAAAATGTCCTTTTTCGAGCGGGGATCTGTATGCTTCCTTAACTGAAATCATAACATCGACCATATGTCACCAGATTTATAAACTTCAATATATTTATCATGTAATCTAAACTTTATGATACCGATATTTGTGGTTAATTTCAACTACTTTTAAGATGTTTTACTGATTATGGTCCGACAGGACCAAAAACGTTTTGAAAAAACTTTCAATCCTTTTGGCTAATTGTTTAATTAATATTTACATTCATACATAAGTTTGTTAAATTATGGTATACAATCAGTCACTGGGGTTTTCCCTTTTAATTTTCAATTAAAGAACGTTTTAACTTAAATTTTTCTCACATTTATTGAGATTGTGTTTATAGTATTATTATTTTTTATTGTATGTTAAATCGAAACTAAATAAACATATTAAAATGAATAATAATATCATTTATATACTGGTCGTAGAAAAAATACCTATGCTGCATCCCTGTAACTTTGCCGAAATAATTTAAGTTCTAACTTACAAAGTTAGAATAACTAATAATAATAATAAGTTCTTACTTACGAAGCATAAGGCATAATAAGCAAAAGCGGTATATGAATAAGCCAACGCTAATATCGCTTCTAAGCATAAAAACCTTTAGACACTAGACAATAATGGGCTGACATATTTCGCGCTACACGCTAATTTCTTAAACTATGCTATCGAAAAAAAGGAACTTTTTGATTTTTTAATAACTTAAAATTTTATCAACCTATGATGAAGCAGTTTCATTTGAGAAATACTGAAAAATTTGATTTTTTAAAATTTACTCCTTTGTTTGCTTCGGCTGCCCGCATGCGATGCACGAACTGCCTACTGGGATCGGCACTGACTTAAAAATTTTGACAATATAATTTTCAAAAGTCATAGAATAGAATATAATAAAAGAAAAATGCTTTATTGCCACTAAAAATTGTACAATTTTATGGACAAAGCTTACAGTCAGAAAATAACAATAACAAGCAAAATTTACTGAAATTACATAAATCCTCAATATAACAACATAAAAGATAATAAAATAAACAATCCATTGCGAACTGCATAATAAAACCTTACAAACTAATGTGATACTCAAATATGTCCTCTGGGCTATGCGAAATGTATAAAAGAATAAATCTTTTAGCAAAAGCTGCTATCGCCGTGATGAATTAAATGGTCAAATATATGGCCTAGGAAGACAAATTCGTTTAAAATCCCGTACTCGAATCGGTATCAATAAAGTGTTATGAATCATTTCGGCCTATCCAGCCTCATCAGACACTTGGGCTGATACAAATTCAAACTCGGAAAGTCCTACGAATGTCTCCCAATACTTTACTACAACAGTAGTTAGCGCATATATATATATATATATATATATATATATATATTTATATATATATATATATATATATATATATATATATATATATTTATATACAATATATATATATATATATATATATCTATATATACCTATATACATATTTATATACCCTCAATGGGCTCTTCCCACTATCTCCAGTAATATGTTGACGGTACATTCGTTATTTGGCTCCATGGCAGGGATGCTTTAATGTATTTTCAAACCGATCTGAATGATATACATCCTAGTATCCAGTTCACTATAAAGCTGGAAACTGATCCACCCCTACCATTTCTCGACAATATTATAAATCAAAACCCAAACCCAAGGTTTTTATCACTTTATTATTTATAGAAAACTCACAAACACCAATCCGTACTTGCATGCCAACTCTCATTATCTCTCTCATTATCTACCTTCACAAATTAATTCAGTCATTAATACCCTTGTCTTCAGATCAATACGCCTTTGCGATTATGCAATAGACCCTCTGAGCTCTCTAGTTTAAAACAACCCCTCATCCAAAACGGTTACCGCGAAAACCACGTCAATAGGAGAATCCACAGACATCAATCTTCTACTCAATTTCAATCCAAAGACTTAGCCCCTTTACAGTTTATCACTGTAAGTTTTACGAGGTGACGAATGAAATGGTGGTATTTTGACTGGGGCTGTAAAATGACATTTCTGAGATAATGTTTGTTGCAGAATTGAAACTCGGCGGTAATTTAAAAAAAAAATTAGAATATCTTATTGTGTACCATATCTCATTGTGTACTACTCTCCCTACATTACAATTTTATTTTAGCCAAAGAAGTAATTGCTGGTATTAAATGGTCAGAAGAATTGGACAAAACATTTAGATCTAACTATGAAATAGATCCAACTTTATCGTGGCAATATTTTGGAAGCTCAACTGGATTTATGAGGCAATACCCTGGTAAGTTGGTCCCACTACAACAAACACTTTCTAATTTTTATTTCGTTTCTCCGATTATTCATAATTAGGAGCGTGTTTTATAGAAGTCTATGAATTTTTTGGAAATGAAGGAGCTAGATGGTTGTTATAGTGTTAATGAGAATCAATTACCTAATCATTTATTACTTATTATTTGAAGTATTTTTAGAAAATAGCGTTTAAATGTGTACATAGAAATAGAATAATTGACTTATATTTTATAGATTATTATTAAAAAGTATCATCAAAATTCTAATGGAGTTATAGTTGTCAATATCAAAATCTTTTTAAAAAACAAACCATTAACAGTATCATTTACAAATATATATGTATGTATATATATATATATATATATATATATATATATATATATATATATATATATATATATATATATAATGGTTATACACCTGTGTGTATAGCCATTAGCGAGGGGTTAAACCGCGAATGCTTTCTAGATTCTATTTCTTGGGGGTGGATCAGTCCTTTTTGTTTATGTTATTTTCTTGACAATATCTCTCCATTTTTTCCTGTCTTTAGTTTTCCTCTCCTTCTCTGACTACTGCCCTTTGAAGGTCTTCTTTAACTTCTTGCAGCCACTTTGATCGTGGTCTTTTATTGGTCTTTGGTCTTTATTTTAGTCACGATGTGTTCCTTAAGTATTTCTTTAATCTTTGTATTTGTTTTGCTTCTTTATTCATTTAGCTCTGTTCTGATTGGTCCTAGTATGGTTCTCCTTATCTTTCTCTCTGCTATTCTTAAGTCTTTTCATCTTTTTTCACAATCGTCATTGTTTCTCCGGCATATAATAATATTGGCCTAATTATGGTGTTATAAATGTTCATCTTAGTTTTCTTAGACAGTGTTTTGCTTTTAAGTAATCTTGTTTGCAAAATAAGCTTTATTCGCTTATGATATTTTTTCTTTTATTTCGTACTTCCTTTCTCCGAATTTGCTTATTGTAACTCCTAGGTATTTGAAGTGTTCTACTTCTTCAAACTCAGAACTTCCTATTTTGATTTTTTCTTTTATTGGTTTTTTCCCCAATCTTAATATTTTTGTCTTTTCTTGGTTTAATCTTAGTCCCATTACCTCCTCTTTCTCTCTTATTTCTTCTATCATTTCTTTCATTATTTTCCTGTTCTTTGCAATAATAGCAATATCGTCTACATATGCAATTATTTGACCACCTCTTGTTCTGAGATTACCTTTGTTTATATTTCGTAGTACACATTCTAATGCTAGATTAAATAGCGTTGTTGATAAGGCATCTCCTTGTTTCATCCCTTTATTTATACTGAATTCCTCTGTCTCGCCTCTTTGTGTCTTTATGCTTATTTTGTAGTTCTCATTGTTATTTCTATTAATTTTCTGAGTTTATGTGAAATTTTTAATTTTTTAAGTGCTATCAGTAATCCGTTTCTTTTAATTGAATCAAATGCCTGTTTGAAGTCTATGAATGACATTTCCAATTCTAATTTATGTTCGTTTACTTTTTCCATTATTTGTTTTATTGCGTGTATTCCATCCATTGTAGATCTTCCTTCTGTGAATCCACATTGTTACTGTCCTACTATCTTCTTTGCGATCTTTGATAACCTCCTTTTTATTATTGATGTCAATATTTTATAATATGTTGTTGTTTAGTAACGTTACTCTCTACTATTTTCACAGATTTGTTGGTCTCCTTTTTTATGTATTGTTATGATCTGTCCAAATGAACATATTTAACAAAAATAAAGTATATTGGGAAAATATAAAATTTGGATTTTACTTCAGACAGCAGATTATCCTGAAATCGTCATATTCATAGTATAAAAATAGCAAGTCAATCCGGTCTCAACATTATTAAAATTTTTAGCCCAATCTGTGTAAAATCCATTTCCGAAGTGGACATTGAAACGTCAATAAATCTATTTTAAACTTCAATTGAGAGCGTATTCCCATTAAAATAATAATTACTTTAAGATACCACAAGAAGATAGCTTCAGAACAATATATAAATTTTGGCACAATAGGAACAAAAGTAAAATAAATTTTTGTATGATTATTCTGAAGTCATTTTGTTGTGGCATCTTACTATTTTAATGGAAATAAGTAAATATCGCAATAAAACAAAAACCTTAAAAACTCAATTTTACTAGAAAAGAATCATAAAATGCAAAAAAGGGATCAATTTTATTTGGTTTTAATGAGGTACTTTTATAATGAATTAAAATAAGATATAAAGCAAGCTATTACACATCGTTACTAACCTCATTCAAAAATTTATTTGATAAATGCTCATAGCAAAATAAATATTTTATTTTAAATTCTATTAATTTTGTAGCAATGATTTGGTCCCAAGAACCAATAGATCTCTTTGACTGTCGTACGAGATCATGGTACATTGAAGCAGCATCATCACCAAAAGATGTAGTAATTCTAGTAGATAGATCTGGATCTATGACTGGAATGAGAAGAGAAATTGCACGACATGTAGTGCATAATGTACTTGACACTCTTGGAAATAATGATTACGTGAATATCTATACTTTTAGTAATACCACTGAACCGTTAGTTGAATGCTTCGAGGGACAGCTTGTTCAGGTATGCATATTTAAAATTAGTTTGATAATTGATTATTAATTAGTAACTTCAAAGCTTTACAACTTTATTAGAAGGTTTTTTTAATTTATGAAAGTTTAATTCTTTTTTAAATGCTTTTTTATATTACCGTAAAATATTTTAATTATTAAATTAAAGTATGTGATTTTTGATTTTATTCATTTATAAAAAAATTTGTCAAATCTAATCTGACATATTAGGTATATAGCAATATGAATCATATTAAAAGTACAAAAAACTTTGAAATGTACATAATATATAATCTTGTTAAAAAAAATTATGACATGAGTTTTTATTGTGCTGTGCTATAAGTGCTGTGAAAGTCATTATGGTCGGGGCAAGAGCGTCTGCGGTTACCTTAGCCCTGAGTTATCTATTACAAAATTTTGGCGTATTTCGAAACAGACTCAAAAAGAACAGAAGAAGTCAATTGCATCTTACTCAAAGTTCTTCAAGATCTTTCAAACGAAATTGAACCTGAGTTTTGGCAGTCCAAAGACAGACGTTTGTTCATTTTGTGATCTAACAAAAAGTGAAATAAATTTATGCAAAGACCTTCAAGAAATAGCTTTCCTTATTACTTAGTATATATTGCACAAGTTACGAGGTAAGAAATTTTATGAACTGCTTAAAAAAACAGAAGCTAATGTAGCTAAGGTATCTTTTGATATGGAACAAAATCCGCCTCTTCCTAAACTAATAGTGGGTGAGGTATTTTATTCTCGACAAATTTAGGTTTATAACCTTACTTTTTTATTGATTTATGTACACATGGACTGAAAACCAGAGTGGGCGAGGCACCAATGAAGTATTTTCAGCTCTGTATAAGTTTTTGGGGATTTTGGAAGACGTTTAAAAATTTTCCAGCGAAAAGTCACAATGTTTTGGGTTTTCTACTTAGTTATGTGCAGATTTCTAGAGCGTTTAATGATATTCAGCATTGCTTTCCAATCAGGGGACATAGCTATATGTCTAGTAATAGAGTATATGGACGTATTTAAAAAAAAATAGGAGAAAAGAAACAATAGTTGAACCAGACGAGTACTACAAAATGTTTGCATCTTCAGCTACAGTTAATGTTTTAGGAAAAGACTGAGAATATTTTGATTTCATGAATGCTGCAAAACGAGTTTTATTGATGAAGCTCCCTTTTTTGATACGTAAACAACGAGTTTTTCATTTTCAAGTAAAAGTAATAACGAAATTGAACCTAAAATACCTACTGTGGTGATTTTAGTATTTTTAAAGTTATAAAAAAGGATGCAATTTGCTGAGAGTGTACATTACAATGAAGTCTATGCCATTAGTGAATCATGTAAGTGAAAAGACGAAAAAAGATGTGGACACCCTTCTCAAATTTATTTTATTATCTAAAAGTTCAAAAGAATTTTACAATACTGCACTTAACAATATGCAAAATGGTTTCAACGAAAATAATACTGTAGTGTATGATGAACTAGAGCCTTTTATTTGAAAATTTTTTAAGTTGATTTTGATGAATAAAAAGTAATTTTTAATTCTGTACTTAGATAGTTATTAAACTTTTGCTGACATCTTAAAGACAAGCTTTGATTATGAATAAACTTACAAATGAATAATAATATGAAGTTGTCTCCCACATAAATTTTCCAATAGTGATTAAGTCACTGACTTAAGGTCGTTTTGAAAAAAAAACAAATGTTTAACTTCTTAAAAACCATGATTTTGTGTTCAAATCTTACTATAAATTGTCTTGAAACAAAAAATTTTAACCTGTAAATTACATGACTGATTCTATTCCAAAGTAAAATTTAATTATATTTTTAAACATAGAAAAAATTCGTGAATGAAAAATTTGCTTTTTTGACTTAAGACCTTTTGGAATCCACATCTTCAATTGTTAATGACAAATTTACATTAAATTATTCTCTTGCACGTCTTTTTAATTCTGCTGAATAGACAAATTGGATGACCTATTTTCGGTTTTATTTTAATGTTTTTATTTCTTTTGGTACCAGATAAAAAATATTTTGGTTATTATTTTCATCTGTGTTGTTTCTCTTATTCTCTATTTATTTCTCGACATTATGTGGTTTAAGCAACCTGCTACTTATTATCTTTTCTAGATGGCTTCTTACTTCACTTCTTATATCATTTAAGCTGAATATCTTTACCTACAGATAATTAAAATTCATTCTGTTCTTTAGAGAAAGGATCTAACGAAGACTTGGAAAAGAGTATACCTATATAGAATTTTATTCAAGTTTTAAGATTCGTTACAGATTATTAAAGCAAATTAATTATACTTTACTAAAGCAAGACACACATTTTTATTGAGTACTTCGTACTTTGATATTTCTAGACAAAATTTAAACCTCATGGTGGAAATTTGAATATGACCTCATGGATCTCTCTCAATATGTCCTCATGGATCGTCGTTGTTGAAGAAATTCTGAAATAATATCAACGATAAAAGAAACACTAATATTTACCATGGAAAAGGAATATAATAACACACTGCCTTTCCTCGATGTTTCAATCTCAAAGAAAGATACTGAATATGAGACTCAGGTGTATACAAAACTACCACACAATAACAAATATCTTAATTGCAAATCAAAAAAAAACATCAGTGTTAAAAAGGGAAACGTGAAAATGAAATCGTAAAATAAACTTAATTGTAAAGTAAAATTGTTGCTTATTTTCAACAAAAATAGTAAATTGCATTGAGATGCTACAAGGAAATAGCTTTAGACCAATATTACTTTAGAAGTGGTCGTACATTTTATTTTTTTAATTGCTATTGCCATATTCAGCAGACTTTTTTCGTTTATATAAGAGCCTCTGAAGATCATTTTCATTCACCACTGCCAGGACAGCAATTAATATAGATGTACTGGGCATCATTGAAACCAGATGACCCAACTGAGGTTGTTTCTCGATCGATGAAGCCTCAATAATATTATTCCAGTACCGAGAACAACTAACACAGACACAGAGTGGCAGTAGTAGTTAATAAAAAATCTAATAGAGTAGTGGAAGGCTTTTTCTCCATATATTCTCAGAAAGAGTAATGATTATAGTTAAGTACAGTATAGTTTTAGTTTTTGATTTTAGTTTTAAAACCAGTCTTCGGACAAACTCAGGTCTGTAATAAGAATGAATAATAAGATATTTAAATCTTCATTTTAAATTACTGGTAACAATAAATAAAAAATAAAGTGTTTACAACTTTCTGCTTCTTTAAAGTACCATAACTCTAGTTCTAAAAGTCCAAAAGTCTGAAATCCTAACTAAAGATATTGATGTCCTCTAGTTACTGAATTTGTTTAGAGCAGCAAGTTCTAAAATAAAAATAGCCATTATAATTGCCAATCTCCGCAGGGAGATAGCACTCTAAGAAGAAGAATTTACTGAAATAACTTTCAAAAGAATAGCGCATTTCTAACTAAAAGTGTAACTCAATAAACGGAAAAAATGACAATAAACCAATTTTTTCTATTTTTAACTGCCTTATACCACCTTAAAAATTCTGAAAACATTCTGTAACATAGTTTTGGTGATCACATTATTTTTTTCGAGCGATCCGTATTGTTATCGAGTTATGCCCAAAATTTGGGGTCAAGTTTCCCCTGAGGCAATACTGACATTCTTATCCGGGCTATGCGTGTTATAGTTCAAGCGTATTACTACGCTTTAATGGCATTTTCTTTATTAATGTCTCTGATTATTCTACATTAATGTCTCTGATTATTATTCTATACATGTAGTAGAAGTGACGCTCATAGAAATATAGAATATTTAGCAGATGCAGAAACAGTAAAATAACCAAATTTGATCAAGAGCTTCATCAACAGAAAGCAAATATGTCTGAAACAATGAAAAACAAAAAAGTGAAAAATATAAAGCATCTATAGAGTCGAACGTAATCTGTTTTGATCTCCAACAAACCCTTCACACTCGCTTAATAACTACTTCCAAAGCGTTTTATTTGCGACAGCTTTGGACGTATAATTTTTGTGTTCCCAATGTAACCACAGAAAGATCAGAAATATACATCTGGGACGAATCCATTTTAAGAAGGGATCTTAAGAAATTGGTTCGAGCCTCATTAATTTTATTAAAAACATACTCTCTAAAGGTGTTACCAAGATCATCGCATATAGCGATTGCTGCGGTAGGCAGAACAAATATATAAAAACGTTGTAAAGCTGTTTATGTTCCTTTTTAAATTTACTCATATTCAAGAGATTCACCAACAGTTTTTCGAACCAGATCATACATTTATGGAGTGCGATAGGGATTTTGATATAATGAAAAAAGTGGAGCGTAAGAATTCACCGGTATTTATTCCAAAGCACTGGGCCCAGCTAATTAAATCAGCTTGCAAAAAGTCTAATGTACACCAAATGAATCAAGACAACATTTTTGTTTTCTTTTAAGGAAACAGTAAATGAAGAGTTTTTATTTTTGACATGTGTATGTATAAAAACGGAGCTGGACGTCCTACTGTTACCATGGAGAACATGTTTTAAGAAAATCTAACGCTCAGCCGATAAAAAACAATAAATTGAAATGCTACGATATTCAAAAACTTCTTGATTATACTCCACCGGTTTACCACAAGTTGTACAACAACCGTCCCCATGAACACAAGAAAAAATTAAAAACTAATACCGTCAACGAAGTGTCAGGAGAAGGATTTCAAGCAACTCAGTTTGGCGAAGACATGAAAGATACAACAGTGCTGGACTGTGATTATGAGTGAAACTTGCTTAGTGTAAAGATATTTTTTTTATTTTAGCGTTTCATATTATAAACAAATAATTTACTCAATAAAGTTATACTTAAATCTTTTTCCTGCAAAGATTCTACGGATACATTTTAAACCAGATAGTTATTGGTTCCAAGTTTTTTTTTCAAAATAAAGCTGAATTGGTTATTGCTTTGAAAATATGTGTAGGTATAATAATTTTCTGACCCTTTAATAATATAATAATACTATGTACGACCGTAGCTAATATACAAGGAACTTTAATTATTCAAAAAACTTTAACCTTAAATATCTCAAAACTAGTAAAATTGCACTTGGATCCCTTTTATTCTAAGCCCTCAATTACTATTTAACTGGGAATAAGCCACAATTAAGGATAAAAATACGTTTATTGACGTTTCAATTTCCACTTCGGAAATCGTTCTCAAAATACAAACAGTAATTTACTATTTGTATTTTGAGAACGATTTCCGAAGTGGAAATTGAAACGTCAATAAACGTATTTTTATCTTTAATTGTGGCTTATTCCCAGTTAAATAGTAATTAATTTAAAATGCCACAAGAAATTAGCTTCAGAACAATAACAATAATATTAACCAATATAAATATGATAACCTCTAAATAGCAATAAACTATTGTGATTTTAGCTAATAAATTGTGTGAACATCTAGAAAACCATTTTAAATATCTATTAATAAATTACATTTTAATCAAGTCTATATTGAGTTCATGAGCTATTGATGCTTTTTTTTTTATAGGCAAATTTGGCGAATGTACGGGTGCTGAAGGAAAGTATGACCAATTTTAAAACAGAACAGATAGCAAACTTTTCTTTGGCTCTAGTGACAGCTTTCGAGTTACTTGAAGAATATAGACTAAATAAAAAGAGTAAGTATAGTTAAGACAAATAGTACTACTATATATATATATATATATATATATATATATATATATATATATATATATATATATATATATATATATATATATATATATATATATATATATATATATATATATATATATATATTATTTGCGTTGTAAGATATTGCTGCTTATACATTTTTAAACTTTCTTTTGATTTTTATCACTTATATTTTAAGCGTGGTTTTATTTTATTCAACTTCATTGGTTGTATTCACAATTATTTTAAACTTCACAACTAATGTTGTCTTTAGTTTAATTTAATTCACTTTATCTATGTCTTATGAAGCTTTTTTTGGTCGTATTTTAAGACTTGTTTTGAATGTATTTGGCTGTTAATTTTGTTAACTTGTACCACGCCAACTGTTTTTTTTTTATTTCTTTTACTATTCTCATTTCTACAATATTCTTACTTTTGTAATTATTGGACTTTTCCAAAAAAATTGTGATTAGCGCTGTAATCTACTTAGAAATGCATTGTAATGCTTATCCAACCGACACAATGACAAACATTGAAAATATATCAAAACTCAATAGTATATTATTCAATCTTAGCGTTAGTTCATTTATTTTGACGATGAAATATAAAAAATCGATGACGTAACTTTCAGACTGCCCAAAGGATAGTGTTTTTTGTAAAGTTTAACCCTATTTTAGATAACTATTGTCGATGCACACTAGCCCAGAGGGACCGACGGCTTTCCGTGCCCTCCAAAGCAGAAGGACGGCTCGTTCTCATTTTTAGAAATGAAAATGCCGTTGTTGGTGCAAAGAATCAAATTCATGCGCTCAAGCTTAGAAAGCTAGTATGTTGGCCGCTGAGTTTTGCACTGACTGTCGATCTGAAAGGAACATTTTTCTTGTGTATTTAAAGCACACCGTACAGTGACGTAATGTTTCTCTGGTATTTTAATTTTTTTTTTAAAATGCTGTTTAACAAAACTAGCCTGGACAAGTTGATTAGTTTTTCACAGAACACTTTCAGTGTACAATTTAAAAGTGTAATATTTAGTTTAACCGTAAGAGGTTTAGTATAATATTTCTTTTTATCTTTTTTTTTTCTATTTATCATTCGGTATTTACTTTCAAAATTTGGATGATTGCTTAAATATACATATACTTGGTCTTATTAGTACCTATATAAAGTTAATTAGTGTTAGGTTCAGATAACTATTTCTTTATCTTTTTTTATATTTTTCATTCATTATAGTTTCAAAACTTGGATTATTTTTCAAATGTACATATATGTGGTCTTTTTAGTTAATTCGTAATAGTTATTAAGTGTCATGGTCTTAATTTAACATTAAAATTCTTGATTTTAGGTGCCAGATGTAATCAAGCAATCATGCTCGTCACTGATGGCGTTCAGTACAACTACAAAGAAATTTTTGAGAAATATAATTGGGAAAATTTACCATTTATGAATGTAAGAGTGTTTACATATCTCATAGGAAGGGAAGTCTCTGATGTAAGGGAAGTTAAGTGGATGGCCTGCGCAAATCAAGGTAAGAAGAATTTTGGTTAGTTTTACAAAGATTTAACTATTTAAGAATAGATGGTAGGTACATTATGCATTAGGAGTACGCTATAGTAGGAACAACCGCGTTTAAAATTTAACACTCACATTTTAATTTAATTTTATTTAATCTCATCTGATCTGTACAAGACCAAATCCCCAGTGAAGTCCATGGTGTCCACGAGATACCTTGTTCCAGTTACCCATGTACACACGTAGGACAAATAAACCGACGAATATATAACCGTATTTACGAAAATTCTATATTTATCAAACATTCCGATACTATTTTGACCCTAGCCCAACATCATTCAGATAGACCACAAAATAGATTTCGAAAAAGCAAAAACCATTGCTCACATCCGCTCCTTAAAATCGAGAATTATTCGTGAAGCCATCGAAATTGAAAAACGGCCCAACAGCCTAAAAACTTGCAATGACACTAAATGACTGTCGGCAAAATGGCGACCACTGCTTCTGCCAGCCCCCCCCCCAGGTCCAACCCACCCCGCTCCCGCTGCCGGTAAGACCGGTAACATAGGTAAAAACACATCTCCTGGCCCAGATTACATCCACAAAAGATGCTTCAAAAATCTTCCATAGAATATTATCCCGTTGCTTACCAATATAATCAATGCATCTCTAACCTGAGCTACTTTCTTATTCCTTGGAAGGTGGCCAGCACAGTCATGATATCGAAAAAAGGGAAAATTCCTTACCAACCCTGAATCATATAGACTCATTTCTCTAGTGAGCACCATAGGTAAAGTCTATGAGAGAATCCTTAAAGAGAGACTCGTAGAATTCTTACACGCTCACTTCTTAATTCCAGACTACCAATTGGGATTCAGGACTAGACATTCCACACAAAATGCATTGGTTGAAGCAACAACCTTCATTTCACAATCAGTTAACGAAAGGAAACACGGCATGGGCATATTTCTCGACGTCCAGAAAGCATTCGATAAGGTCTGGCACAGGCCTGATTGAAAAACTCTACCTCGCTGGACTGTCAATACCTTTCGTTAAATTAATTAATTCCTATCTCTCTCATCGGACGATCAGGATCAAAGTAGCTGACCACCTATCCACCCCCTTCACTCCACAAGCTGGAGTGCTCCAAGGCTCAATACTTGCTTCAATACTCTACACAGTTTACAATAGTGACAATCCCCGCCCACAGCAAGGATCAGAGTCTCTCCTACTTTTTGCTAATGATACGGTGATCCTTACTTCAGGCTCAAACAGAGAATGTAAGCGACGGTGTGTATTCGAAAGATCGCAAGATTACCTTGACAGAGTTGTGAAGTGGTGCAACAAATGGAGAGTGACCATAAATCCCTCCAAAACACAAGCAATCTTATTTAAATCTTCCGATTGTCGTGACGTCCAGGGTCGGATATCAGTTTTGGGAGAAGACCTCATTCTCAGAAACTCGGTTCTCTACTTGGGAGTTCGTTTTACAAGAACTCTCAGCTGGAAGGCCGACGTTCAGAAATCCTTAGATAGGATGAGACAGAGGTTTAATCTCCTGAAAATGCTAACCGGTAAAATTGGCGGAACGTCTACCAAAACTTTGTTGCACACTTACAAAACTTGTCAGACCGATAATCGAATACAAGGCATGCGTTCACATCTCTCTCAAGAGTCACCAACTTTGCATCTACTGAACGTAGAATACTAAGATACTGCATGAGAAAAGATTGGTCGTATCCATCAGCCCACATATACATATTGGCCAACATCACGCCAATCAAGGACAGAATCCTAACCCTCAGCAGGAAGTATGTCCTAAGAACTATAGCTGGCTCGAACAACAGAACAAAACAAACACTAAATACGCCTTGCAATCATAGAGGGCAAATACTCACCAGGTTTCCCACTAAGGAAGTTCCGTTTCTGATAAAGAAAAGAAACGCTGATAAAGAGCCATTCCTACTGTATGGCTGGTATCCCCTGAAGTACCTTAACTGGCATGCTAGGCAATTCCCACTTCTTCTTGTGCACTCCTATCGATCACACATACAAGTCACCTTCTGCTTCCTCCTGCTCCTTAGTAGTCTACTACTTCTTAACATCGGGCATCTTTTAATTGACGTTTATCACACCCCCACAACTCGGTAAAAAAAAAAGAGTAACCCATTTCTTGAAGAGGCTCAGGCCTAACAAGGTTAAAACTCATGTGTCATGTGTCATGTAAGACCGGTCGTCACTCGACACTGTGGAGTAGGCAGATTGAACCTCAGTGCCGTTTGACGGTTCTTGTATTTATACAGAACACGATACTGGTACGTCACGTACCAGTAGAGTAGGCAGATTGAGATCCCGAACTCGAAGGGAACCGTATCCCTCTTGATAATGGCTTCGAAATAGGTGTCGAAACATCGAGTATTACATTCTTAAAGCGGTTTTTCCCGAAAACTTTTTCATAGTAATTTTCATTGTCCTGTAATTGTCAATAGTGCAATTAGCATGACATAAAGGCTTCTCAGTCACAAATCCTTGCCAATAAAGTGTAAAGAAAAACCTCACAAACTGCAAATGGATCAGTAAAATCTTATCAAAGCGGGTAAGACTCATAATTCAATCAATGAGATGGATATACTATCAATAGATATAATAGGAATATGCAAAATGAGATGGACTCTATGAACAATGTGAAATTAGTGATCATCACATAATATTATTCAGGTAACCCCAACGGAAGATATGATAATGGAGTAGGTATAATCTTAAATCAAGAAACTACCAGACATGTTAAAAACTTTGTATTCATTTTGGAAATAATGCTCCTTCTTTAATTTAATACCTACCCAATTACAACTAACGTATATATTGTTTTTAAATCTTTAAATAGTAAGGTGTGTTTCCAATGAATGAAAAACAGCAATTGTTTCATCGATTTTTAGAAAGGCAAGCCAGCGCAACTGCACAAACTATCGCGAAACTAGTGTTATTTTTACAAGCAATGGTTACAAGCTACGAGCCACAATCTTTGCAGTACAGCAATGCAATAAAAAATAAATTAGAACTACCAATCAGGGTTGCCAGATGATTTTTTTTTAATTCCCTAGAATTTTTGCCAAAATTTCCCTAAATTTCCCTAACAACTTGACAACCATATTTAGCCTAGAATGGACCACCTAAGTCTGACGTCAGAATGAGCGGGATTTTTAAAACCTTTTCAAACATTTCTAATTTGAGTTTATTGGTCACATAAGAAGTTGGAAATATTGGTATTTTAATTGTTTGTAGAATAAATAACGACTTTTGGTTATGAACATTCATTCTGTGCGATTGGTATTATTTGTTGTTCGTGAATTTGTGAGGTAAGAATCCTCCTCAATATTTTCTCCTTCGTAAGGATATAGTAGCGTCATGTAATTTTATTAAATATTTTTGTCCAATTATCTCTTTCCTGTGCGTGTTGTTTTGCTTCGGAGAATGAATAACCAGTCATCTCTTTTATTTGGTCCGACCATCGTACTGGAGATCTTCCTCTGGATCTTTTACCCCTTCGTTACCTTCAACTATCATTTGCTCTATGCCTTCTCTTCTTCTAGTTATATGTCCAAAATATCTCAGTATATTTGGGTTGATAGTTGTGATGAGTCTAATTTTATGTCAAGTTATGCTAGAATTGAGTTATTTGTGCGATAAGCGGTCCATGGTATGCGCAACATTCTACGATAGACCCACATTTCAAAGGCCATTATACGCTTTGAATCGGCTTTTGTTATTGTCGTAATATTATGTCGTTATTTTGTTATTGTTGTAATAAGTTTCTAAAGCATAGGTGGCGATAGGAAATATCAATGCTCGAACAAGGCGTAATATTGTATTTTTTGTGATGCCAGTGTTCTTCCAAATTTTTGTGAGTTAGTAATAAACAAGCCTAAGTAATTAAATTGCCTGACTACTTCGTAACCTGCCATATTTTTTATCTCTGCTTGGTTGTTTTCGATTTTATCGATGATCATCACTTTGCTTTTCTGCATATTTATTTTCAAACTATATTCCGTACTCACCGTGCCTAGCCTATTCATAATTTGTTCCAGTTCTTCTGGTGATGACGATAACAGTATCATCAGCATAACGCAGGTTTTTAATGTTTTTTCCTCCTATCGTTGCTTCACCTTACCTTGCCACTTTCCTCAACAACTTGACGCATATGTTCACTATACACATTGAATAGAATAGAGCATATTATGCATCCCTGTCGAACTCCAGATTTTAATTTTGATGTTTTTCGAAATCACATTATTAACTCTTACATTAGCAGGTATTATTTACCTATAGTTTTTGTAATAAATAGATAAGATGTTCTGCAGTACTCATTTCACTAAGTGTATGCCACATTTTATTACATTTTACGGTATCGAAGGCTTTGGAATAGTCAACAAAGAAATCTCGAGATTTTTCGATAATTTGACGAATATTAAGAATATGTTCTCTTGTTTCTCTACCTGGGACGAATCCGCATTGTTCTTGGGGAATTTGTGGTAAGGGAATTAATTTTAGTCTTTCATTAATGATGGTTAGAAGTTCTTTGCTCGCGTGTGATATCAATGCTGCTGTGCGATAATTACTGCAATCAGCTGTCGGTAAACCTTTTTTTATATATGGGAATAAACGCAAGTTTAACCCCAGTCATTTGTCTACTTTTCGGTATTCCAAATCTCATTGCAAATTCTAAGCATTACTTCCGTCCCTAATTCTCCCATTTCTTTTAGTGTTTCAGCTGTTATTCCATCTTCTCCTTCTGCTTTTCTGGATTTTAGCTTTTTAATTGCCACCTCAATTTCTGATTTCAATATTTAAGGTTCTTTTTCATAACTTATTTTCTCTGTAGTATTGTCTTGGTCGTTGTTAGAAAATAGTATCTCGCAATATTGTTTCCACACCTCTGCGAGGCCGTCTGGGTTTTTTATGATATTTCCACTATTATCTTTGATGATCTTTGCGGTTTGAATTCTCTCGCTAGATACTTGACTTTTGAGAAAAGTTCTCCAGGTTCTTGGCGGTCAGCATGTTCCTCTAGTTGTACACATATGTTTTTAATATAATTATTTTTGCCCCTTCTGCACAAGTGTTTTATAGTTGTATTTATGGTAAGAATTGTAAGAATATCAAAGTATTAAGATATTTTAGTCCAGGTGGATCCCTGACGTAATTCGCCCTTTGTGAAATACCACCACTCTAGTCATCGACGGGGAATGACATAAACAGTTAGAGAAAGACAAACTAGAAACCAAAAATCACCCGATGGGCGACGCCAGTACATACTTTAGCCCAGGTAGATTCCCGACGTAATTCGCAGTTCGTGAAATTTCACCACTCTAGTTTCCGACGGGAAATCACATAAACAGAATTTAGTGATTCCACGAATAGTATGATTTCCAAGTAGATAATATAATATGTGCAATTTTGGAAAGTTTATTAAATAAAACTGATTTTTTAAAATATTCTTACAAATATTAAGAATTCCCTAGATTTTTCATAGAATTGAATAAAAATCCCTTTTTTCCCTAAGCTGGCTCAAAATTCCCTAGGTATAGGGAAAATTCCCTAGGTCTGGTAACGCTGCTACCAATAACGAAGTCGTAGCAGCAAAATGGTTTAAGCACCCTTAAGCATCTCATTGAAAAAAGAGTAGAACGAGGACGGGTAGTTCATTTAACATTTATAGACGTACAAAAGGTATACAGTCCCACTAAGAAGTTGTAGATGTGGAAAGTTTTTGTATCACTGATAAACATGAAAACTACATGAGTATTGTAGGAGTTCAGTCAAAGTGGGAAACAGTAATTTTTGGAAATAAATTATATATAAATTAAATAAATAAATATATAAATAAATAATATAAATAAATATGTATTTAGAAAAAGTGGTGAAGAATTGAAAAAAATGCCTTGAAAGTGAAATTTCCGTAAGAGATGAAAGCTACTCTTTCGGTAGCTCGGTAAACCCTTTAAGGTATCTCGTAGACACCATGTTTAACATTTTCACAAAATTCTATAAATACTGCCAAATATAGAGTAGATGTTAAAAGCTGTAGAAACCTTCTCTCTTTATATTAGATTAGATAAGTGCAGTGTTTAAGATATAGTCAGAGGAAAGGTTCAACCCGGAGGACTCGATATGCGAAATGGCCAAAACATCGAAGCCATGGGTGCAAATTATGTGTATAAATATCTCGGGGCAAAGCAAATGTTGAAAATTACCCATAAGCAAATTAAAATCGAGTATCTTCGAAGTTCATACAAAAGATAAAACAGTTGATGCATTCCCATCTTAACAGTAAAAATTTGTTTGAGGTGCTAAATACCAACGTATGTTCCGCACTTAGCTATTCATTTGGTATTGTTACAGATGTAGATATAGATACAGATATAGATTTTGCGCTTAAAATCTTTAGCGCAAAATACGAACATACCTAACAAAGGCCAAAAATATCCTCGTAGTGCAATAAAAACAACGACAGTACTGCTGTAATTAGGAAGGAGAGGACTTCTTGATGTAGGCGAGCAATTAGAAAAACGTATTTTCAGATACAGGCTAGGATGTCTAGATTACATAGCGCGATTTGTGCAGTAGATAAGGCAATGCCGCTCAAACTAAGAGAACCACATAAACCACAATTCTAGACAAGCAGAAAATATGCGCACCTGGATCGGTCTAACTATCTATGTCGACAATACATCGTCGAACTGTTGGTTCGAACAAAAATTACCTTAAATTTAATGTCAAAGACACTCAGGTCCAGTACGATAAATGCCTAAATGGATGTTAAGCCCAAGAAGCCATTCAACACCTACCGGGGGCTGCGGGGCATTTGCTGCATTTAAATATAAACAACGGCATGACTGAAGATCCTTCATCAAAAGATAGCTATTAATCTGAGACTTTTTCAAACCAACCATCTTTCCTTATTTTCAATACGTCCCTGACAATATGTTTGAGAGCGACAACTACTATTTATACTGGGATAGCACTGTGCTCTTAGAATAACCAGGGCGCATAATACCAAATCTTGTACTAGTTAATAAAGTAATTAGACATACTGTACTAATTAATTTGGCGATACCTAACAACAATAATCTGCGTGTTAAATGTAACGAAAATATTGTTACGTACAGCAATCTGAAAATTTAAATACAGTGCCGATGGGGAAGGGAAGAAACCAAACGATACTTATTATTCTCTCTACTATTGAAGTAATTTCGAACAGCATCTTAGAAAACATCTGGGTGAACCTGTATTACTCTAGATTTCCAGATGTTTATGAAAATTTTTGGGAGATATTCCAGCAAATCAAGAGGGCTTGTTCCCTATATTTCCACCAGAGCTCAATCCTTTTGATACCGTAGGTGTCTGGAATGGGTGAGTTTTTTCCTTAAAGAAAATGAGAGCCAATGGCTTATACCTGGGTAATAGACTCACCAGGTAATAATTCACTACCAAAATATTTCTAAATTAAGGTCTATCAAAAACTGATGATAAATAGGTAGTCGTCCAAAAGATTTGTTGTAATAATAATGGGAGGGAAAAATAATTCCGGAATTATGGTCTCTCAAAAAATGTTTATTGGTAGCCTTCTAACAGATTTGTAATAAATAGCGGAAGAAAAAAATTAATAAAAAATTGAAATGCACTTTAAGAATAATTTTGGGATAATTAGACATCAATCAATGGGTGATGGAAGAAGTTATAACCAGATAGCTTGTCATTAATGACACTGACACTCAACTTTGTATAATAATGTATATTTCATCACAATGTAAAAAAGTAACTATTATTATAAAGATTTTAATCAAATTTGATTATTTTCCTTCTTAAGACAAAGCAGGACTTATGCGTTATAGAACGGAGTGATTTTACAAATTAAAAATATATTTAAACAAAATATAGTTCATAATAATATATTTATTTAACAGGTTATTACGTGCATCTTAGTACCTACGCGGAAGTTCGGGAAGAAGTACTCAACTATATTCCAGTAATGGCTCGACCAATGGTTTTAAACCCGACACAAAAACCCAATCCTACCTGGAGTCCGGTCTACGCTGATGTTACTGACCCAAAACTAACAAACTGGCTTTGGGTTAATCGCGAAAGAAATAGGCAAAGAGAACGGTTTATGGGATATAGGAAGTTAAAGCATATGCTTTCTTCAGGTCATCTCGATAGAACATTTGTACACCAGCAGAAGTCGGTACGTATTTATCATGAAAATTGGTCAATAATATAATGAGAATGACTCAATTATCTCGGAAATAGCTAGCACGATTTATAAAAATTTTCGTTTGTGGGGGTTTTATAATCCGACCAATCTTATGGTAGTATTTAAATTGTCAGATTTTCTGTTTTTTTTTTTGAAAATATAATGTACCTTGTTACTCCAAATAAATTACCCTGTATATATTTTTACATCTAAATTCCATTTTTTAGTTCTTACATACTGGCAGGTTTTGTTTTATAAACGGTGGTTTAAATGATCTTTAAAAAAATATTCTGATAAAATATGATCTTTAAAAAGACTTCATATCAGATGATCGCGGGGCAATTAAAAAAATCCATGCCTTCCAATACATCTTCTAAGAAACACAATATTTATGTATTACCTAGCCTTACGCATTTAGTGAGGTGGAGCTCACTAAACATCATGTTGCAGCCAAATACTGTTTTTTAGGATATTGATATTGTCTGAAAGCTTCAAGTAATAAAATTTGTAAAATTTGATCGCTTAAAATAATTTTTGAATATACAGGATGAACTACCCTTAACCCTTTGGGTTATAAAAAATAGATTAAGACCGATTCCCAAATCAACCGAATATACATATAAAATTTCATAAAAATTGGTCAAGTGCTTACGAAGGAGTATGGTAATAAAATTATGTGGCATGAAAAAATATGGCCATTTAAAAATAGGGGTTAGTAATATCAGAGTGAAAATTAAGGGTTGTATGTATTTTTAATGCAACACAATCACAAAAAATAAAAATAAAAAAATGTACAAAAATAATGTTTGAAGAATATATATGTAAGATGTCTTAGAATTGTTCCAGCCCTCTCAAAGGAGTATGGCAACTAGCTCTGTGACATTAATATGGGCTATTAAAAAAGAGGTTAGTAATAGAGGAGTGAAAATTAAGGATTATATGTATTTTTATTATTGTTCTGAAGCTATTTTCTTGTGGCATTGTAAATTAATCACTATTAAACTGGGAATAAGCCACAATTAAAGATAAAAATACGTTTATTGACGTTTCAATTTCCACTTCGGAAATCGTTCTCAAAATACAAACAGTAAATTAAACAAATTTTGACGTTTCAATTTCCACTTCAACAAACACATGATATGATGACAGTAAAATTCTCCTGTTAGTGATTCCATAGTAAATTATGAGGGAAAAACCAGGAAAAAAACCTCATAATACTATCCCGACATTGTGAGTATTTGTTCGTGAATTTAGTTTACCTTCAACAAACATCAAAATTCTGATTTTATATGTTACATTATTTAAAAAACATAAATGATGTATCCTCTATATGTTACTGACTTACTAATACTGGTATTTTCTTATTAATAACTTCCTCTTTCAATATTGGTAACCAGATCCTACTACATTCTATTGGCCTCATTTAGCATAATTAGAGCCGCTTCTTTGATTTTTCTTTTTTTACCATCCGTTTCTTTTAAGACTACATTTGAATTATTCCACTGAACTCTGTGTTCATTATCCCATGCGTGTTTACAGATTTGAGATCTATCAAATTCTCTATTTTTAATATAAGATTGATGTTCACTTATTCTAACATTTAATGGCCTTGATGATTCACCTAAATAAAACTGATCGCATTCACAAGGTATTTTATAAATGCAATTCTTTGTCCTTTCTTGTTCATTGTTAGATTTGGTTTTGGACAAAATAGATCTCAACGTGTTTGTTGTTTTGAATGTTGTTGAAATGTTGAATTTATTTCCTATCCTTTTAAGTTTTTCTGATAATCCTTTTATGTACGGTATTGTTATTTTTCTCATATTATTCCTTGTGTATGCTGTAGGATCTCGTTCTAAGTTGTTCTGTTCTATTCGATCGATTGTTGAAAATTCCTTATTTATAAACGATAAAAGATAATCATTTTTTAATAAAACAGATGTTAACAAATGTTTCTCCTCCAAGAACGAATTTTCGTTAGAACAAGTAATTTTGGCTCTATCGTATAAGGATTTAATTATTCCCTTTTTTACATTAATATTGTGATTTGATTTGAAATTTAAGTGTCTATTGGTGTGTGTTGGTTTTCTATACACCTGAGTCTCATATCCAGTATCGTTCTTAGAGATTAAAACATCCAGGAAAGGTAGCGTGTTATTATATTCCTTTTCCATGGTAAATGTTATTGTCTCTTCTTTATCGTTTATATCATTTAGGAATGTGTTCAACAACTCTGATCCATGAGGCCATATTGACAATACATCATCTACATACCTCCACCATACTGTGGGTTTGAAATTTTGTTTAGAAATGATATTTGTTTCAAAATCTTCCATAAATATATCGGCTAAGAATGGATATAAACTAGAACCCATTGCTATACCAAAATTTTGTTTACAGAATTCATTATTTAGTTGAAAATATGTATTGTCAGTACATAATGTTAATAACTCCATTATAGCCTATATGTTTAGTCTTGTTCTAGTTGCCAATGAATCATCACTCTCTAATTTTGTCTTGACTATACTTAAAGTCTTATTTAATGGCACATTCGTAAATAAACTATTTATGTCAAAACTTACCAAAGTATGATTTGAATTAAATTCAATATTTGATAATTTATTTACAAAATGTTGTGTATTTTTATGGATGTGTCATTTTTATTTGTAAATGGTTTTAAACTATTTAATAAAAATTATGATAGTTCACTACAAGGAGAATTCATGGTACTACATTTAAATTTAAAATTTAAAATATAAAATTTGTTTAATTTATTGTTTGTATTTTGAGAACGATTTCCGAAGTGGAAATTAAAACGTCAGTAAACGTATTTTTATCTTTAATTGTGGCTTATTCCCAGTTTAATAGTAATTGTATTTTTAATGCTAAATCATAAAAATAAAAAAATGTTTGTGATGAACCACCCTTTCCCCTTAAGCGATATAAAAATAGATTACGACCTATTCTTGGATTTACTAAATACACACAAAAATTTCATAAAACGTGGTCATGCTATTTCGGTAGAGTATGGCAACTAACTCTGTAACATTAATATGGTTAGGTACTTCAAAAAAGGGGTTAGTAATAAGGGAGTGAAAATTAAGGGCTGTATATATGTTTAAATGCCACACCAAAAAAATAAAATAAAACTTTGTTTACAAAATTAAAAAAATATGGGTTCTGAGTGAACCAACCCTTAAGCGTATGAAACTATGTGAAAATGTGTGTATTTAGACCTACCAAATACACATATAAAATTTCATAAAAGTCGGTAAAGCCATGTCTATTAAAAAATAAGGGTCAGTAATAGGAAGGTAAAAATTAAGGGGTATATGTATTTTTATTGCCACATTCTAAAAAAATAAAAGTTAAAAATGCCAAAAAAATAAGAAAAATATTTGGGGTGAAAAAACCTCTTAGCGGTATCAAAAATAAATTACTACCTATTCTTAGACCTACCGAATACACCTATAAGATTTCATAAAAATCGATACAGCCGTTTCGGAGGAGTATAGCGACGAACACGGTGACAGGAGCGTTTTGTAAATAGATATAGGTACTATATACCCGGGGTCACCAATTGTATTGGTCTATAAAATAAACTCAAGGAAAAAGATGATTATAAAGCTATTATATTGTTTTTTCTCCCGTCTTTGTTGAATCAATTTTTGCGGCGTAATTTGAAATATTTGTATCTTAATTGAACTGAACTTAATTTAATCGTTTAATGATACTGTCTCTGGTTGCTTTATTTCTGCATCTATAGTGTTTAACAATTTCATTGAACATATTTAAAACTATTTAAATATTTAAATGTTAGTAACAGGTTACTTTAAATAGCGTTTGTTTACTTTACTTTACCAGCTTCGCTGGTCCGTACACCGTTAGGCTTGAGCGAAAAACTCTTGTTTCATAGTTGCACAAGATTTTCAACTTTGTGAAAATCAGCATATCGTTTTTGACATTCCGAATCAAGTTCATTAATAAAACGTGAGAACTAAGTAGCATCAATATTTTTATTACTATCACAAACGGATTGAGAGGAAAATTCAAAAGTTCTGCCTTAATATCCTCAGAAAGAAGTTCAGTCTTATGAGAAAATTACTACAAAATCCGACAAAAAATTATTACAATATCCGACAAAAGTTTACAATCAAGTGTTCCCTTCCATTGTAGTTTTAAATTCAAGAAGTTTAGATGTCTAAAGATATCCACCAAAAATGCGATAGTTGCAACCTTCTCTGTGAGAGAAAAAGCCCAAATGGTCATTTGCAGCTTTATTATTGATAGTAGACAGAAATTCTTTTATGTTGTCAAGTATTGCAAAGAATATTTCAAGCACTAAACCTTGAATTGACGATGCCTCAAAGATGATTTTGCACGTACAAAGTTCACTATCTTCATGACGGGCATTTTACTGTAAAGAATTGGATTTAAACTTTAATAAACACAACATACTTCAAATGAATAATACAAATGAATAATACATGAATAATACAAATATGCGATATTAGATTTTTATTGTACATAAAATCGCTACTTAGTTGCTGAACCAATACTTTTCTACGCCCAATTATCGCTGCAGCGTCGTCCGTAGTGATCGAAATAACTGTTTTTAAATCCAAACCATTCCCGCCAAAATAGTCCACCATAGATTTGTGTAAATTCTCTCTTGTAGTAGTTCCATATATTGGCAAAGGTCCAGGTACCCCACAAAAATTACAAGCTTTGCTTGTAATTTTTCGGATGAGGATCCAATGATGATTGGATGAGTCGCATGACTCATCCAATGCCAAAGCAAAAATATTTAGTGACAGCCAATATTTGTTTTAACGTTTTGTATGATTCATCTGCCAATACCTATGTATTCTTTGTGCTTAAAGTAGTAGATATTGGAATACGCTGAATAGTATCAAAAACATCCTTATCCTTTTTATTTTCAAATAAAGAATTTTCTGATTAAAGAAAACACCTTTTAATGATAGCCGCGTCAATAAATGGCTTCATATTTTTGGAAAGCGACCAGGAGATGCGTAAAGAAACCTCAGTCCGTAGATGTAGCGTAATTTGAAAGTCAATCCTCAAGTTTACTTCTACCAATTAGAGTTCTTATTCTGGATTTTTCTTCAAATATTTCATGTTTTGTTTCGTAATTAACATTTAACTTTCGCCGTTTAACATTCAAACTTTTAATTATTGTCCCAGTCTGATGGCAAATCAAACAAACAGGTACTGCTCCAACTCGGTTTGGCAAAGTGAAAGAATATAAAGCTGTCCATTCAGGTTGAAACTGCATGTTTTTTTATTCAATTTTTCTTTTCTTATCAATATTGATATCAATATAAAATATAAACAACGCTAGAACTATATAGAAAACAACACTTAAAAGTATTAACGAGAAACACGATAAAAAAATAAAAACATAAACAACACTCATAATGACGACTGATCGAAGACTGCGATGCGACAAACAAAACTGAGACTTGTTGTTGTTTGTTTGTGTTTAAATGACTGCGGACACTAAATCCATTCGCCAATCTTACAATTTAAGGTGTAGTGTGTGTGTGTGTGTAGATTATTGTCTTGATACTTAGCAAAGTCGACGTCATTGTCGTTGCTAAGAGACGCTAATTGTATCCGAACATCTGCGGTCCCTCCGGTGAGTACCGATCGCACAAGGATAGAAATTATTTTTATTCATTAACTTTTAATAAACGAAAATTTCTCCACCCAGGTGACATTCGAACTCACGACCTTTAGGTTCAAAGGTAGGCGCTCTTACCACTGAGCCACAGAGGGCAAAACCGAGACTTAGACATGCACGATATTCATTGATGATTGATAAACATCGTACTCCTTAGCTCAATGGTCGATGTTTTGCCATCGATATTTAGGTATTCGATAACATCGATACTAAATGAAAATATCCAACATCAACTTCAGTATTCTGGCTGTATGGCAAACTGCCAAAGCCATTATAAAAAATAACTTCAGTATTTTTTAGTTTTATTAAATACAATTATAAAATTCCACATAATGGTTACTATGTCCGAAACTTGGAAATTGAGATAATGTTATTATACAATATTATCTGAAAATTTGGAAAAAACATTTTAGTTTTATTATAGACTGGTTACTAGGCACGTCATTAATATGCAAATTAAAATAATTTTAGTGTTCAGGCAGTTTCCCTTATAGTTTGCTAAAAGATTATTTTTAGGAAGGTATTTCCTGAAATTTTGAAAAACTCTTTAGTCGAAACATATTGTTTAGATTACTATAATATGTTTCTATAGAGTATTTTTATATAGTATTATTAGTACTTTGCATTTTAAAAATGTAAATTTATCTATATATTTAGATTTGATTATAATTTTACACTATAATTTTATTACTATATTTTGAATTTAATGACGGTGCGCAAAAAACAAACGCACGATCCGGAGGCGGACCACGGTATGCCATTTGGTGACCCCTGCTATATACAATGTTTATCTAATTAGCCTTGTTGCAAAACTCTCACAAAGCAAAATATATTATAATTCTGGCTTGTCGTTTCTGAGATAATTGAGGTGTTCCAAACTCACTCTATATACTATTAATTGCTTAATTACCGTTTTATTTTATTATTTACTCTATTTCAAGTTTTTATTTAAATTTGTGATATAACTCTTAAATGGCCACGGCTGTATTGGGTAGGGTGTCTTTTATATTTTTCATATCCAGTTATAATAAAAGCCTAATGCACTTTAGCATTTGGTTGAACCAACTCCGCTGGAAACACTTTTTGAAGCAAATCTATTTTGCGTTGTAGGTATTATTTTTTCTATATAGTAAAATGATGAGGCGATAGTCACGGAAGAAGCGCCACGATACGGCGTCACTAGTAACGTCACGAAATAACGGTCTTCACTTCGATTAACTACTCTCGATCAATTCGTTTAAAGTCATCATGTGTTTATTCTAAGCAGGTTTAAATTAAATGCATAACCAACAAAATAAAGACAGTAAACGAAAAGTAAAAAATTAAAAGAATATCTATAAATAAAAGATGAAATAAAACAAACAGAAAAATAAAAGGTCGATACTAGAAGTCGATTCGTAACGATTGAGGGTCAAAATTAAATTAAAGAAGGCATAAATGTCATCAAATTAATAACAATATTGGATCAACTATTTAAATTTTTATTACACTTCTCGTTTTAAAATAATTATTTCATATAAAAACAATGTCGGATTTTTACAATTATTAGTTCTAATATTGTTGGAAAGTGCGACAGAAAGAGTTATTAGTAAAACATTTGAATTTTATACTAATATTTTATACTTTGCAAGAGATTTCTAAAGCAGCACATAGTAAATATAGACTTTTACGAAATAACTATAACAGTAAACATTTGGAAAAGTCCATTTAAGTCACGAGGGGTGTCGTTATACAACATGTACACTTTTATTTTACACACTATTACAAATACAATATCGCACTGAAATTTTCGATTTAGTAAATAAATGAAAATTAAAATGGATATTATTTTTTTATTGGTGGCGACAATTAAAAAGTAGAATTAAGATTAACGGAATCAGCATGGACAACATTAAATACGATGATGTTAGCGTCCTACTAGCAAGCAACGCACAAGAAGTACAACATATGTTTGTTTGTGTTTAAATGACTGCGGACACTAAATCCATTCGCCAATCTTACAATTTGAGGTGTAGTGTGTGTGTGTGTGTGTAGAGTAATTGTCTTGATACTTAGCAAAGTCGACGTCATTGTCTTTGCTAAGAGACGCTAATTGTATCCGAACGTCTGCGGTCCCTCCGGTGTGTACCGATCACACAAGGATAGAAATTATTTTCATTTATTAATTTTTTTAATAAACGAAAATTTCCACCCAGGTGGGATTCGAACTCACGACCTTTAGGTTTAAAGGCAGGCGCTCTTACCACTGAGCCACAGAGGGGGTTAAAAGTACAACATATAATAAATGCGGTAACTCGTAGTCGTAGTGAAATATTCGGTTTACATCTAAACGTTTCAAATACTAAAATTTTAGTATTTTTTAAGACGCCAATAAAGGTACATTTGTATGCCAAGGGATAAATAATAGAAAAGGTAACTTCCATAAAATATTTGGGAGCAAATAACGTTAGCCTGTGTAACCTAAAAAAGAAATCATATCAAGAATCGAACAAACCAGGAAAATATTCGTGAATATGAAAACATTTTTTAAAAGATCAGACCTTAGTCTGGAGCTTAAAATCCAAATGATCATATGTTACATTTTTCCGGTTTTGCTATATGGCTGTGAAAGTGGGCAATGAACTCTGAAACAAAAAGAAAACAAAATATGCCTTTAAGGTATATATCTACAGACGAATGCTAAACATTCTATGGGTACACAAAATTACTAATGATAAGGTACTTTGGCGCATAAGTAAAGAAACATAATTATTAAGAGTAATCAAAGAGAGAAAAATAAAATACTTGGATAATGTGTTAAGAGGTAAAAGATGAATAACTCCAAATCATATTGGAAGGTACCTAAAGTGCAGGGCAAAAGATCAGTTGGAAGACGCCAGAACTCGTGGTTGAAAAACCTACAATAAAAGCTACAATTGCCATTTGGATCGCTAACCTTCGAAAGGAGTTGGCGCAATATGAAAAAAAGGCGACGCCTATGTTCCAATATGCAAATCCTAAAAGACACGCGACGGAAAGATATTTGTAGTTCTTTCTGATATTTATTGATTATTTTGTATTGAGATATTACTTTATTGTTGTTTAATTATTGTTATTTATGTATTTTTGAAAGATTGTACTTCATTTTTAGCATCAAGATAATTACGGCGACACTCAGGTCTACCATCTTATGACATCAGTTTCACTACCAGTATACGATAAAAAACCTCGACAGGTAAATATTTGTAATAAAAAACGACTCTGCTAAAAGAAAGAAGTATTAAAAAAATTACGTTATAAAATCTACTCTTGTATATAAATTTTTAGCACCGTCTGTTTTATTCTCTTACATTAGGTGGATAATTTAGTGCAATACGTTAAATATGTCAACTCCATTATTATGACCTAACTGGTATAAAAAATATATTTACGTACAATACTATTTTTATTTCAAACCCGTAAAGCAGTCGAGAAGCAACTTTTTTCTCAAAATTACTTGTCATTGTTTTTTTAGTAGGTAATTATTACTTTCGCCTACAGCTTAAAAAGTACTTTTCCAGTCACTTTCTTTACCTGATAGCTCACTGCCAGTTGTATAAATGATAAAATAATGTAACAAATCATAATTAAAATGAATAAGGATGTTATTATTTGAAATTAAATTATTAACGATAGACTGTGCAATAGTATACATATTCTCGGTGGACTCATACAGGTGGACTGTAATATATAGTACTTGTCAGTCCGGTATGTAATGTAGGGTGGCCACCTTTTTACTTTGTTGGACATAACTTTTTACTCATTAGCAATTTTGAGAAAATAATTAAACCTAGCAAAACATTCATTATTTGTTTACCAATTGCCATAGGTAACTTTGCAAAAAAATAAAAAAAAAAACAACCTATTTCAAAGCAACTTACTCTTTTTCAAAAATGTGGCCACTGTAGGAAAATAGCGCCTACAGTGGCCACCAATAGGTCTAACCATGGACGTTTTATACGTCCATGGGTCTAACAGTGGCCACTATTTTTAAAAAGAAAATAATGAAACCAAATCTGCTGCTTTCAACTTTTATTGCCAACTTAGAAAACAAAATAACGAAAAATAAGTCTTAAATGCCAACATCTTTGGGAAAATAAAAAATATTCATGCATAACAAGTCTTGAGGAACAAACTTTCAAGAAAACATAAAAGTGATATTTTAAAGAAGATAAATAATGAAAAAGTATACAAATAAAATCCTCAGTCTTCAGTTTGGTCGATTAGTTGATGTTATAATGGTCCAAATCAATATCGAAAAAAAAAAAGCTTCTAGCTGTTCTTAATGTCTCTCCAGTATTTTTTGGTTCAGGTAGATGCAGAACAATGTCTGCCCTTTGTATCACAGAAACATCATCAACATTTGGAAAAACGAATTTCTTTTCCCTGTATTTTCTTGAAAACGACACCATATATTCTTCATCAGGTAGCACCTCTTTGCACCTGCTCACTTCCAAAAGTCTATCGTCATCCTCTTCTTCATCGAAATTTTCAGTAAGTGTGGACGAGGCAAACGAAATTTCCTGCTCACTCTGATCTTCATTTTCTGATGAGCCAGGGGAAGCAATTTTTACTAATGGAAGCTTTTTCGTAACCTTGGACTTCAGCTTTTCATCAAGTTCATCTTTAAGCTTCTGAATATTGGGGGTACTTGTTAAAATTTCGGTTGCCGTCTTCTTCCGTCCACGCTTAGATTGGACTTGTCTTTCTGCTTTCGGGAAAGGTCTCACCATTTCGGGTAAAAAGTATAGAGCACCCTTTTCATCACCTTCGGTTGAGATCTCATCACCTTGAACAATCGTTGGAAGTGTTTCGTTGGTTGATTGTGAAGTAGATGGCTGAGGTTCAAATGGTATATTGATGGGTGCTGGCTGGGGCTCAAGTGGTATATCGGTCACTGATGCTGGCAAAAATTCATGTTCCTTGAAACAATTCTTATTAAGCGGATAAATACCAGTACTTTTAAAGGCGCAAACTATATTTTGTGTGCAAAAGGCCTGGCCATAACTTTGGCTCAAAATCTCGTCAATGTTATAGATATCAATTCGTTTTCCCGGATGATTGGAAATACAAACTCCACACTCCTTATTATAGTATTTTTTAAGTGGGCCGAAAACAGAAACATCCAATGGCTGGAGCTTATGGCTTGTGTGGGGTGGAAATGTAAGCAAGATCACATTATTGGACTTAGCGGTCTCTATTACTTCCAAACTAATATGTGTGTCATGCTTATCCATGATCAGCAGGACTGGTCGATTTTTAGTAGGACCCGCATGTTTGATAAAATGGTTTAACCACTGTAAAAAAATCTCTTTCGAGCTCCATCCTGAAGGATTTGCTGCTCCTTCACTTCCAGGTGGAGCCCCAACTAACATATGCTGTTTGAAATTTTTTCTTGGAAATACCAACAGAGGAGGAACTGAGTTTCCAATTGCATTTATTGCTCCTATCATGGTGACTAGGGTTCCTCGCTCTGCCGAAGTAATCTGGCCGGCTTGCTTTTGGCCCAAAGTAGCAACAACCTTATTTGTACTCTGCACCGTAGTTAAAGCCGTTTTATCTACATTGTAGATCTGTTCAGGGCCAAGTTTACGAGATAAATAAATATCACTTCGATTTTTGAAGAATTTGTCAATTACAGGCTTATTGAATCCCATGGCTCAAGCTAGTGACGTTGCTTCAGAGACCCTTAATGATAAAGTAGGGTTTCTCTTGATGAAACCTTTGAACCATTTGGAGCCAGCAGATTTGTTTGCTTCCCAGCATTCGGGTACCTTTTTCTTGTAGAAAGTAGCTAGATCATATGCAAAACTTTTTACTTGGGTTGGCGTTAAGCCATGATGGAGATTTGCCAAATGTTTGATGTACGAGCTCAATTCTTTTTCTTCTGCAGAAGTAAAGATCTGATGACATGCATAATTTGGAGTCAATCTAGGATGCTTGGCCTCATTAAAGTCTATGTTCTCCATTTGTCTCCTGCATTTAGTGACATACGTTCTCAATGTCGTACGGGGAATATTAAAATATTTTGCCGCTCTTTGTGTAGACCAGCCGCCCTCTAGTACTTTTTGTACTGCTTCCCGCATTACATGCTCTGGAGTAATTGTCAGTTTCTCACCTTTCGGCATCTATAGAAAAATAAAGCATTAAAACCAAATTCATTCCCACAGTGGCCACCCCTAAATGAATCCAAAAAGCAGTGGCCACTGTTGGCTACATTTACCATGGCCACTGTAGGAATTATCACATTTTTTAGAAAAATGGTAGATATGATATTCTATACAATTTTTAGCAGATAAAAACAGGGGAAATATGTGGTCACTAGATACACAATTAATGCCATGGATGTTACTTGGAATAAAATATAAATGATAATGTACAATTTTACTCACTATTTTGATGAAAACGTAACTTTTTGCGTCGCAAAACACACACCTTCTCACTGCTCGAACTACACGTGACTGACAGATGCATCGTCACCGTGCAACGTTGCTGATGCTAATGCGCATCTAACAAGGTTGGTGGCAGCACGCACCAGGATATAGATTCGCAGAAATTTAAAAGTGTCCACTGTAGGAGCATGGCCACTGTAGGGCACTGTCCCCTACTTTATACTTCGTAAGTCATATATCAATTTTAAAACTATCCTAATACTAGTTTAATCAATTTGTACAATTTATTGACACATTAATATACAATAACTGCTTATTACAAGAGAAAAGTTCTGTGGAAACCAATGCATTAAAATTCAGTGATTTTTATACTTTTCCTACCATGAGAAATAGAAAAAAGATCATTGTATATCACATTATATTATGTGAAGTTATGTATTATACGAAAATGAAATAAACCATTCAAGATATTGCACAAAAAGAATATTATCGGGCACAAATAATGACAAACATTATTTTAAAAATAATACAAGCTACTAGAATACCAGAAATTAATATAAAAATAATAAATAGGTAAAAGAAATAAGAATAAGATTTATGCACAATCTATTTATTGTACTAACAACGACCAGTTTCGCATACTACCTATATTATAAATTTGCTATGCATCTTCATGTCTAAGGTACAATGGTAAACTAAATGCTAAAATTATAAAAACCCGTATTAAGGTGCTGTCTGGTAAAGAAATTACAGTAACTATACCAATATAATTTGTATGTGTTTATTAAATATGACTTAAAAATTGCTTAAAACAGACAAAGTGAAAATAAGTGACATAAAAATGATCTAGTAAATTGAAATTAAATAAAGAAATAACCAATAAATACTATTTACATGCCGATACAAGAATTATTATTTAGTGATATAGAAAACACAGTTCAAACTATGCTCGTCAACTGGTGACGGGTGATCTATATCTCATCTAAAGCTCATATTAGTTTTAAACCATCATTTTTGTTAATCCCTGCGAACCACAGAATTATATATATTTATTTAAACAAGAATAAATCTTGTTAGAGTTTTGTATATTTGGCATTTCTTTTTTCCATTTATGTTAAGAGATGGTGAATAATTAATTGTACTTTAATGGAACTATTTAGGCGCGCTACAAACAAAATTGTAATTGCCAGAATGATTACCAATATCTCCGATAGGAGCGGAATATTAAGAAGAAAAAATAATTAATGCAATATATGTTTTGTTTGCAATCGGTATTCTTCTTTTAACCTCTTTACTGATATCGTTTCCTGTAATATTGTTGTATGCGGAGACTAGGGAACTTAAGTATATAAACATTTTTCGGGTTTCAATATTGTAGTCTCCTATGGTTAGGTTCTGTAGATGTCTCAATTCTGTTATTTTGATTACATTTATGTATTTTGTTTTTATTTCATTAATTTTTCAAATTTATCACATATCTTTAGAGTAAAATGCTTCTACCACATATCTTCGGCTTCTGGGTAGAATATAGACATAATCTGCAAATGCTAATATTTTGAAGACTTTTGTTGGTATTGTACCTCTGTGGTGATTTCTGACTTTCTGAAAATATTCTCTATTGTCATGTTAAATAAAATACATGATAATACATCTCCTTGTCTTTTCTAACTTGGATTATATCTATTAGTTCGTTCTGAATTCGGATTGTATTCTATAGGTATTTTGAGTGTTTCTTTTACCATGACAGTGAGCTATTTTGGAATTTTCGATTCATATTACCATAGATACTCTCAGTGTGGATCAC